CACTAGGCTTAGCGGATAAAAGATTAGCATGATTTCCATGTATCAAGATATCACCACAATAGAGATGTAGAGTAAGAGGATAAGAGAATGGGATGAAGAGTTTACCCAAAGAAAGAAGTTCTACGAAGCTCTGGTGGTAGTCTGCTGGTTTGAGAGGAAGTAGACGACAACGGGCGGCTTCTTGGGCAGCGGGACAGCAACAAATCCTTGCTGTAGTCTTTGGACAGCAAGCAGGTGGCCTGGAGCAGATTTCAGATAGCAGCTTTTGGTTCTCAAGGATGTTGGACAGCAGTTTTCTTGACTCCAAAATTCTGGACAGCAAATTACACCAACTTGAAATACTGGACAGCAACTGGACAGCAACTGAACAGCAGCTTGTAAGGCTAGGAACCCTTTGGACGGATCACAGGACCTGCCCAGAAACCTGAGCAAAAGCTTGGCGGGGGAAAATCTCAGATTTCCAAGGATTCCTACTGTGAATGGCAGCAGGAATGACCTTGGGATTCACATTAATTCTAAAGCTAGATGAGGGGGATTAATTTCAAAACTGAAATTGATTTCAGATTTTGAATACTCTTGGAGGGAGTTAATTTGAAATTTGATTTCAAATTAATGGATGATTAATGCATTGATTGAAGTGCTAATGGATCCTTATTCGGAGCCATGATTTAAGCTCCTAATTAAGGGGAAAAGTAATGGGCGGCTGGCCATAGAGAGAGAGAGGAGGTTATGAAATTTGAAATCCAAATCAATGGCAATTAATACATTGAATTAGCATTAATTGGATTCCACCCATACATGGCCGGCGGCATCAAGGAGAGGGAGGGGATTGTGGAGGGAATTTCCCAAGGAGGAAAAAGGAATTAGGAAGGCTGTTACTAAATCCAATCTATTTTGAAATTAGATTGGGATCATGCATAATACCTTCCTAATTAGGAAATCCAAAATTGGAAAGAATTCAAAATTCAAAATTTGAATTATTTTCCCCTAATTTCTCGTAGGGTGAATATGGAAAGTCATTAACGTATTGAATTCACCATCATGTGGGGAATTGAAGGAGGGAGCTGGCGGCATGAGCTTGTGGTTGGGGGTGGTGCCGGGTTGGGTGGGAGATGAGGTAGAGAATTAACGGGTTGGCTTGGTAGGAAAGACGTTGTGGTGGTTTAGTTGGGAGATGGCCGGTGGTGGGGGATGTGGAGGTTGGCGGGTGTGGGAAGAATTGGACAAGATGTGGGAAAAGAAAATAAGAAGATAAAACAAACCACGAGTCGAGGACGCTTCCAACGACTGGCGGGTATTGCTTTTGCCCTCACCTTGGGCTTTCCATAGAACTCACACAGAGATCTAGGAGAGAAGAACTCACTAAGAGATCTTCAAGACGGAACTCACAAAGAGAACACAAGAGCCAAATTTTTTTCATTCAATAATCATCATCCCTCAATACAAGAAAGCTAGCCTATAAATAGGCCTCATGAAAAGAAAAATAACAAAGACTAAAATGCCCTTCGGGTTACAACACTACATGACCACCCATAAGGGTATAAAGGGAAAAACAACAATATAAAATAAACTAGTACAAAAACATATAAATAAATAACTAAAAAAAAATCGTAGCCGTTGATCTCCGATGTCCTCATCAAGAAGTCTCCCTACTAATTGCTTCACAATAAACAACCTACCTACTCCTACCTTAAAATTTAAGTTGCCAGTGCTTTCCATGACTAAGTCCTTAATCCATTGATTTGTTGTCACCTCAATCTGTTATTTACATCTTTTTGGACTACACTCAATTGCATAAGGGCTACAAATGTCATGACCCATCTAAGGAAAAACCTACATATCCAACATGTACTCTTTCATGATGCAATCTTTTTTTACCAAGCATTATCCTTTCAATCGAACTTAAAATTTCCATCAATTGTTCTTTCTCCGCTGATCCTTATATCATTCTCCAGCATCCGTCATGCTCTGCACAATCTCCGAACACCAAATTGACATATATTTTGGCACCGTGAGCAATAGCAACATGCCCAGATAAACCAACACGGGTACGTTTATCCTACTAAATACCTCCACTCCAAACTCATCGTAATCATTTCCATCCACCATCCTGCTTCCAACCTCCTCCCCCATGATCACATAGGAACCTCCACACCCAACCATACAACAAATGACAACTTGGGTCCCATACTAGATCACACAACTCAAATTGATCTTTAACCTTCTTCATGCCACTACAAACCCAAATCCAACCAACTATTCTTCATGCCACCACAAACCCAAATCCAACTAACTATTCTTCTACTATTAATGATCACAAATGGAAAGAAGTAGGTCTCAAGAATCCCAAACTTTGCTTGAATATGTTACATGATATTTAGTTTCATAGTTCTCAACTTAGAACATATTAGGCTGCAAAGGTCTCAAGAATTCCAAGCTTTGCTTGAATATGTTACATTCCCAACTTCGAACATATTAGGCTGTAAAGGGACATTTCAAATTAAATACAACTCCAACGACACCCTCGCATGCACAAGGCCCATTTTGTTGCATCAAGCTATAAGCATGACCTTCGTATTGATTATGACGAAATATTCAACCTTGTTGCAAAGAAGTCTGCCATTCGTTTTCTTCTCACCAAATCTTCAACACATGTTTGGATAGTAAATCAAGTAGATGTATCCAATGCTACACAACAAACTAAATGAGACGGTTTACATTGATCAATTGCAAGGCTTCCAATACTCTCAATTAAACCATGTTTGTCTTCTCAAGAAAGCTCTATATGATTTAAAGCAAGCTCCTTGCTAGAGGTTTGCTACATCTCTGGACATCTTCAATGACTTGGATTTACTCCTAGTATAGCCGATCTATCTCTATTCATTTACAAAAGCCATAAAGCCAAACTATACATTTTGATCCACATTGACAACATCATATTTACTAGCACTGATTACATTGCCATATTTGATTTTTTTTCCCAAGAATCTTTAAGGTACATTTCATTTGCACAATTTAGGCACCCTTTCTCATCTCGTTGGTATTCATGCAACCTCTACCCCCTACACCATCCCTAATATAACTTAAAATCTTCTCCACTGCTCATTTATGATCAATTGACAACCCCTCTTGAATCCTCTCACGACCAAATCTTCCTAACCTTGCATTCTACTCTTTGTTTTCACTGACCCGTCTCTATACTGCCATCTTATGAGATCAATATAATATCTGACCATCACTCGTTTTGATATATCCTTTACCATCAATCAATTATGTCAACTTATGAACTATCCTTTTGGTTTTCTTTTTTGACATCTCAAACAAATATTTAGATATCTTAAAGAAACACGTCATTATGGGCTACCCATACATTGTGGCAACCTATATCTCATAGCCTATTATGACCATTCTGTGTTGGTGATCATCAAGATCCAAAATCTAGAATGGGCGAATGCGCCTTTTGTGGCTAGAACCTCATATCTTGATGTGTGAAGGAACAAAGTTTTATATCTCATTTTTTACGGAAACATAGTACCGAGCACTTGCTGTAACTGTCACCAACATCATCTTGCTTCATCGTAACCAAAGGAATTCGGCATTCTATTACCTTAAGCAACTCCACTATACTAAGATACATATCGGGGCTTGCACTAGTCAATAATCCTATCTTTTATGCTTGCACCAAATACATAGAAATTAACCACAATTTCATCCGGTATTGCTTCAAAATGAAAGAAATTTCAGTCCACGATGTCTCCACCCAAGATAAATTTGCAAACTTTGTCAGCATGGCTCTCCAACTGCACGTTTCAGTATTCTAAGGGGCAAGTTGATGCTTCCATAGAACCATCATCTTATGAGGGGGTTGATAATAGTATAATACTACAAAGTATAATAATTAGATAATTAGAAGGTACAACCACATATTGTATTTTGCCCATCACAACTACAGATTAGTAACTTATGCAGCTAATCACAACCATCAGTCATCTAAGGAATCTGCTAATCCTAGCCACTCATTGCGTAGCGCAGCTGCCTTTCTGTATGCAATGTGTAATAAATAAGAATACTATTTTCTGCATGCTCCTTCCTCTACAATGTAATCCGTAATTGTTTTTTCATATCAATGGAGTTGATTTGAGAACATTGAGAGTTTAGTTTTGATTGTCATTGTTGGAAGAAATGATCATCATTTCTGTGCGGGCACTGATGAGATTTGACAACTCGAAGCTTTGAAAGATCAAATTAAACAATTTTGAAGGTATCAGGACATTTTATCATATTGGGGAGCTTATCTTTCAATCCTGAAAACTTGGGATTGCTAACATTTCCATGTGCGTACTGGTTAAACGTGTGATATGGGCCTTGTAATAAATCAAGTTGTTTGCAGTACAATTAAATGCAATATGATCTTTTGCTAGCTATTAATAGTGATTTGTTTTTCCATCATTCATGCCATATTTAACATACTTCGCCAATCCTGTATTTTGTCAATTATACATACATGTATATAAAATTTATTAGTTTTATGTATGCGCAGCATGTTTATTTTGTATGGTAATATTGCATTGCTTTTATGGCATTCATCAACATGTGCTGGCCAGGAAATTGTAAAAAAACTGGGCATCTTCGCATGGACATAAAAATTATTGTTTGACATTTAGCATGCTTTCCTAGCACTAGTCTATTGTGTTTTGTTGGTAGAGTATTAAGCATTCATTCCCCATAATTGGGCCAATTGGGCTCTAGGGCCTTCCAAATTATGCACCATTGACGAGAACTTACAAACTACATACAGCAGAAGAAAGGCATAATAGATTAGTAACATCTAAAGTGGAGGAAGTTTTCCCTCTTATTTTAGGAAAATTGGCCAAAATAGCCTTTTTGATATTACTTTTATCTCTCTAAATTTAAATTTTACAATGAAATCATTTGTCTACTTTATTTGTTGCTTACTTTATCTTTGTTTCATTTGTAATGTATTGATTCACAATGTGCAGAACAAGACAGTTTCTGTGTTTGAGACAACAATCCGGGTTCTTGGTGGTTTACTCTCTGCTCATCTTATTGCAAGTGATTATTCTACGGTATGCTATTTTTTGTGACACAATTTCATCAGTCATGCACTAATCTAAGGTTGTATTTGTGTCAGTTATTCCATTATTTGGTTCTAAGTGAATTTCTTCCTTGTGTTACTGTTTTAATTTGTTGTAGTTTATCATATTTTCTGAACCATATTTATTCATCCTTATGAGTTTGATTCCACTCGTTTCTGTTAAAATTGCATATTGTGTCAATAGTATTGCTGTAGAAAAGATTTGACTTTATCATATGTTAGTTTGGAAATGTGGGTGGTTGCTTATATACCTCAAACATGCCATAACTAATCCCAACATTAGCTGACATGATAAACACTCTACACTCTGTTCTGTCCATGAATCATGTATCTAGATTAACAAAAGCCTCACTTGCACAGGTTGTTTGCTCATTCCTGCAGATTGACTATCTGCCATATATCATATTTGTTAACGAAGGAGGCATAGATCCCCATTCTTATTTATAATATTTTAATGGTATCAATGGCATGTGGTGATGATATTCATGGCCTCAAGTATTCTTTTATTATTATATTTGCTTCTTAGATTCGAGCAATAATGAAGCCATGGACAAACAAATTGGGTTTGGTGAAAATGAGAATGAGATGAGTATGTGGCAGGGGTGGAACCAGCTATAATTTCAGGGGACGAGGGGGGGAGGGGGGAACTTAAGTAACTGTTATATATGTCAGGGGTCCAGGGGGCAGCGCTCCCTGGCGGGGTTCGACTTGCATTATTCCCTAACAATAACACATCTACTATTTCTATTTGTATTTGGTTCATCATTACCTAATAATAACACATCCACACAATGTATTTAATTATATTGGGGGCAATTGCCTAAAGATCATAGTATTTTAACATTTTTGGGGGGGGAGGGGGGCGCAAATGCCTAAAAACCCTTGTAATAAAGACTAAAAAATAGATTGAAGAGGGACAAATTATCTAAATAATAGTATAATGATTTTTTTTTCAAGGGGGGAATTGCCCTTGGTTCCGCCCCTGGTATGTGGTAAAATTAATCGATGTAGGAGTAACATTCTTCTTTTACATATATAATGAAAATTATACATATATAGTGAAATTGGTAATATTAGAGACGGAGAAAGGGATCTAAATGATCCCTTGACTTTTTATGAAGGACCAAAATGATCCTCAAATATATTAAATGACCATTTTGGTCCCACATGTCTTTAAAAATAAATCAAAATAGTTGCATTGTGGGACTATTTTCATTATTCTTTAAGGAGTTGAGTCAAAATGGTTCTTTAATATATTTGAACTGTTTTAGTCTTTCGTAAAGAGTCAAGGATCTATTTTATTCCTTTTCTCATTAGAGATGGTAAGACTGACACTTTTTAGAGGTAAGATAGTACAAAATAAATTTATGTTATTTGGTCATTTATAACAAAGGGATAAAGATACAATGGTAGGACATGTTAATAGAATTAATGTGAAAACAATATAAAAGAAAAGAGGTAGACTAAGATAATATTGCTGGAAGTTATCGCAAAGGGCTTGCGTAATTTATAGAGTTGGCACTTAATGTAGCATTCACTATCGTTAGCCTTTTGCAAATGATTTAGTGATTGGAGGGAGGATATGATCCCAAATTAGTTGATGCAAGGCGGTGGCTGTGGCTACTACTATTCCTGCTACAATTGTTGCTATTTATGTCTTATTTTTAGATGACTCACTATCATTCGCCTTTTGCAAAACGTTTTAGTGGGTTGGTTTTGTGTCTTTTACATTTCATCCTATTGAGTGTTACATGATATGCTACTCTAATTTATGCAAGCATGTTTGCACAACTTATGGTCCTATTACATTATTCTATTTATTTTCCTTCCTATTATTTTAAGTTGATCATTTTCGCTATCTTTCTTATTTGTGCATATGTTGTTTCTTGAATATACATGATTATGCATTGTTAATTTCTTTCCACCATCTTGTGGGCCTGCATAAACTTTGCCATGACTTGTACCATGTTACATTTCGTAGCACTTGTATTTTATCCGCAGAGTGAAGGCGAAGAGCTAAAATTTTGGCAATTTGGTTTTGGTGCAATCTGGAAGTTCAGGCATTTTAAACGTGAATTTGGTGAAGTGTTGTTGTTGTGGAAAAAACCATGGACTAAATATTGTTATACTTGAACACGTGAATACATTGTTATTGGTTTCATGCATTTTTGCGTCATCAGATTTGATAAACATGAGCATCGCACTGATTTTTCCTACTCTTTACTATTGGTATGAATATGCTCAATTGACCTGGAGCAACGATGAGGTTGATGCTATATGATTTTGAGGTCCGGGTTTTAATACTGAGACAACTTTTCAATGCAGGGAGTAAGGCTTTCAACCCTTTTTTGACCCAGCATTGACGAGGTCCACATGTGCTCATATGATCTTTTTTAACTATGTATATGCTAGGCCTTGCATTGATGGGAGCCAATGCATGGATTACAACCTTTATCCTATTATGTTTCACTTGCATCTTATTTCTTTAAGTCCAAATTCTCAATGGTGTGATTGTAGTCGCAAAGTCTCCTCCCAATGCTCTTGCTAAAGCGTAGTAATCATAGGAATTGAGCGTGCTTTATTTGCATCCTAATTCTCGTTGTTAGATTAGGGATTATTTTGAAGGCTACTACTTTGTATTGTTATATTTTCTTATTTATCTTGAAAACTTCGGAACTCCGAGCATGCGATTTCGCCTAAGTAAATTACCTCTTTATTTATTTTGAATCTTCGTTGAGGATTGCTCGTAACTTTATTCTAAAATTATTTTAATCGAAGAGTTGTGCAATGCCTAAATGAACCCATATGCATGTCATCTAAGTAGTCCTGCATCATAAGTTCGACTTTAAGATAATGGATGGATGCAAAACAGAAGATTTATCAGGAAGATCGTGCAAGTCCCATTTTTTAAAGCAATCATCAAATAATTTGCTTTCTTTTATATGATAACATAGAATTTAGTGTTCAAGTCCCTTCAGATCCAACGTAAAAAAATACAGTGGATTATGTCTGAAGGCAGCCAGAAGTTAGATTATCATTATTTTTATTATTTTTTGTGAATTTATCTCTCAACTTGCTCAAACATTTATCCTCTTTCTTTGGCAATTTCCACTTTGTGCATTACAAATATAATTTTGGCCAAATTCCAACCGTTCTGTATTAGCACTTAAAAGTACAATTTATTATTTTTCTTATGTGGATTAAACCCTTGAAATCTCAAGAATTCAGCTTTGAGGTTGCTTGTAATAAGTTTGATGGATTGTTTTTTATTTACATGTAATACTATAACCAAACTAACTAAAAGCTGCTTATGATGATATTACTGAGAAGGGTGCACGGTCATTAAAAAAGGACAAAGTTGCCCCATTGCTGAGATGAATTGTTTGATTTTATTCAATTGCAAATGACAGTTAATGAGCAGAAAGGCAAAAAGAGAATCCAAGCTGAGGAGCGACCATATGTGAATTTCTAGTCCCTGCAGAGATGAAAGTATTTCAAAGCTAGAAACCCTTACCAACTTAATCAAGAGAGGTTTCAGGAAAGCCTTTTTTCCTAGGTGATATAATTCGCCAAACTAGTCTCTTGTTGTCTGGCGATTCAGGCTTTGGAGGGTGATGGCTGTGGATAATTTCATACAAAAGATCTGAGTGGCCTCTTGTCTTTCACAACTCCTTTATTTACCTTTTCGCATTACCTATCATCTTTACTTTTTTATTTGAATTTATTTCAATGCTGTGGCCTAGAACAATACATATCATGCCTGCAGATGAGAGACAGAGGGGTGCACTTCAATGAAAACTGTGATAGTGTATAGCATGTGAACCTACTTTGATCCAGTATTTTCTTAATACAAATTTCATCCATCTTGTTTACCAAACTCATGCTTTTGTATTTATTTGAGAAGTCATACTTCTTTCATGGTTGAAATGAATCTGGAAAGAAATTTTATAGAATTAAAAGTTTGGTTGTTTTTTGTTTAATTATTAGGTTTCTGTCTTATCCAATGTCTTTGATTAATATTTACTAGTTTGTTTTTCTACTTGAAGATGCTTATTTTCTTAACTTCTTGGGACTTTTTCAGCACATGTCGTTTGTATGCAAAGATGGATACAGTGCTTCTTAAATCTTTATATTGTTGTATATGGAATACTTTATTTACTTTGCAATACTTTTTGATAGTTTAATTGCCAATAGACGCTTATATTAGTCTTTATTAAGAAAATGATTGGTTCAAGTCACTTTGTTTGTGGATACTGATGGGATTATTTTTGGACTCTATTGGAGGATATTCTGTGGACATTTTCTTGATTTTTAAGGAAATCTGAGAGCTTATGATGGGGGTATTTTTGATTTAATTATTGTGGAGCATCACTGGCGTACTCAGTGCACACATGCATAGCTTTTGGCGTCTTTTGAAACATTGAAACAGGGGGAGGGGCGGGGGTGGGGAGGGAGAGCGTTGTATTAAGAGAAGGTTCTGTTCTTGCTTTGTGATAAAATTCCTGAAACATTCTTTTAAGAAATTTGCCAATGAGCTAATTAATTCTGTGGTATATTTTACAGGAATTCCATTTGGATCGGTCAATCTTTTACAGGGTGTCGATGAACATGAAAGCCAGGCATGCTTATAAATTCTTCTGCTTTCTTGATTTCACTTGTCTTATTTCATAGTTGATTTTCTTATCTTAAGTAGTCTGCTTGAATCAATTATAAACCTGTAGTAAAATACTAGGTTTTTTCATATTTAATTTCTAGATTTTTTGTGTACTTTGCTTGAAGAGTGTTCTAAATTTAATATTATATTTCTGCTCCAGCATTTCCTCAAAAATGGCGTGGCGTGAAGTTCTGATCTAGTATGAGTACTGATGAATATGTTTCTTTGCATGCATGCTTTATATCTTCACTTAGACTTGTTTATCCATCTATAATCATTACTTCATTACTTCTTATTCTACATGGCTTGATTTTATTTGTGCTGGCAAGGGTTTTCATGTTTTAGTTGGTATTCTTGAGTTAAAACGCACCCTTGCATTGTTGATGCAATGACTTATCCTGTTAGTTGGTAGTGTTCAGGATTCCTGCGCCAAAATCAATTTGAAGCTATTTTAACATTCAGTTTGAATGTTTTTAGATAACATCAACAGCTGGTGGTGGTACTTTGACATTGGAATTTGGAGTGCTGAGTCGCCTTACTAATAATCCTAGTAAGTTTTGTGTGAAATTAATTTTCTTTGCTGACAATATATTTCTAACTCTTTTGCAATGACTTCAATTTCCTTTCTCAATTATTATTTTGTCTCCTCATCAAGAGTTTTAGTTATTATAGTGGGAGAAGGGGACAAATTGAATGGGCTCACCCTGGGCTATTCCCCAATAATGATGCCTTTCTATCATTCTTCATCATCTTATTCTTGATAGAGAATTTTTCTATTTTCAACATATTTGAAATATGTTATGATATAATATAACATAAAAATAACATTTTATTTTAAAGGACAAAAGTATTATTTCACTTTGAACTCAACAACAACATCAAGCCTTTATCCTGCTATGTGGGGTTGGCAACATGAATCCTTTTTCTTCATCGTGTCCTGTTAAGAGTCAAATTCTCCAAATCTAAAAAAATGTCATTTCTAATACTTCTAACTAAGACTTTTTAGGTCTACCTCTACCTTTCTTAACATAGGCCAAATCTAGTGCATCTACTCTTCTAATCATGTCATTGGAAGTCTAACATTTTATGTGACTAAATCATCCAAGGCAACTCTCTCTAATCTTATTTTTTTTCTATCATTCTTCATCATCTTATTCTTGATAGAGAATTTTTCTATTTTCAATATATTTGAAATATGTTATGATATAATATAACATAAAAATAACATTTTATTTTAAACACTACAGGAAAAATGCCCTAAACCGGCGGTTCTAACCGGCGGTTTTAGGACCGCCGGTAGTACCGGCGGCACCACCGGCGGTTTGGCCGTCGGATTTTAACGACGGCTGCACCGGTGATTTTGCAAATATAAGCCGCCGGTAAGGGCGGCGGTCCCTAAACCGACGGTAAGGGCGGCGGCACAAAAACCGCCGTAAAGCCGCCGGTAGTTAAAAAAACCGCCGGTTAATATAAGCTAACCGCCGGAAAAAACCGCTGGTTTTCGGCGTTTTTCCTGTAGTGAAAGGACAAAAGTATTATTTCACTTTGAACTCAACAACAACATCAAGCCTTTATCCTGCTATGTGAGGTTGGCAACATGAATCTTTTTTCTTCATTGTGTCCTGTTAAGAGTCAAATTCTCATCCAAATCTAAAAAAATGTCATTTCTAATACTTCTAACTAAGACTTTTTAGGTCTACCTCTACCTTTCTTAACATATGCCAAATCTAGTGCATCTACTCTTCTAATCATGTCATTGGAAGTCTAACATTTTTTGTGACTAAATCATCCAAGGTGACTCTCTCTAATCTTATTTGTCTTTGGAGCTACTCCAACCTCTTCGCGTATATACTCATTTCACATTTTGTCTCTAAGAGTAAAGTCACTCATCCACCTGAGCATCCTAATCTATGCAACTCTTTATTTTATGTTTCTCTTTTAATGACCAACATTTTACTGCATACAACATTGCAGGTCTCATCACTATCTTGTAGAATTTTCCTTTAAGTTTAGGGGTACTTTTCTATTACACAATGGGCCCGATGTATTCCTGCACTTCAACCATCCAACTTGAATCCTATTAATAATATCTCCATCTATTTCACCACTACTTTGAACAATAGACTAGAGATATCCAAAACATATACTTTTTTTAATGAATTGATCTTCCAAAATCACAATCCTCCCACTAGATCTATTACTACTAAAATTACACTCAATGTATTTGATTTTAGGTCTACTCAAACAAAAACTTTTAGACTCTAAGGTTGACATCCATAATTCAAGTTTTCCTTCAACTCTTTCTCTAGTCTAATGAACAAGAATAATATCATCAGCAAAAAGCATACACTAGGGTACATCCTCTTACAGTTGTCTAGTAAGAACATCCATGATTAAAGCAAAAAGTTATGGGCTTAAAGCTAATCCTTGTGTAATCCAACTAAAATAGGAAAATACTTGGTCAAACCACATTGTGTTTGAACACAAGTAACACATGCAATCATGCATACATATCCTAATGACTTAAATATAAACATTATTAACTCCTTTCTTTTCTAGAACATTCCAAAGCACTTCTTTTGGAACTTTATCATATGCTTTCTTTAAATCAATAAATATCATATGAAAATCTTTTTTATTCTCTCTATGCTTCTCCATCAAATTTCTCAATAAATGTATGTCTTCCATATTTGACCTACCCAACATGAATTCAAATTGATTTTGAGAAATATTAGTATCACATCATAACCTTTGCTCAATAACTCTCTCCCATAATTTTAATGTATGACACATTTATTGAATTTCTCTATAATTCGTACAATTTTGCGCATCACCTTTATTTTTAAAAATAGGAACCAATACACTCCACTCATCTGACATCTTTTTAGTTTTCAAAATAATATTAAAATATTTCATAAGCTAAGATATTTCTTTATCTCCTAAACGTTTCCACACTTCTATCATAATATCATCAGGTTCAACTATTTTTTTACACTTCATTTTCTTTAAAATCTCTTTAACTTCAGTTTTACTAATATGACGATAAAAATAAAAATCTCTTTAAACAATTTAGGGTGTTAAGGTCACCAAAGTCAATTGTATTATCACAATCTTCATTGAAAATCTTAACGAAATATCTCATCCATCCTTATTGAATTTTATCTTCTAAAAACACACTTTTTTTTAATCTTTAATGCACTTCATTTGAACTAAATACTTATCCTATCTTTTTGCTTGATTAACTTATGTATACATCTTTCACCCTCCGTAGTATTTAATCTCTTATATAAATTTTAAAAAATTAAATTCTTAATGTTACTTATTGCTTTCTTAAACTTTTTATGGGCCCTTTTTATCTTTCCTAATTTTTCGAGTTTTTACATATAAAACAATTTTTGTAACAAAGCTTTTTTTTTGATCTTTTGTTGCATATTCTATCAACTATTTTTACTATTAGGGGCTTTTCCTTTTGATACTCCATGCACTTACATTAAAATATCTTTAATATCACTAACTATTTTTTCACACATAACATTAGATTCCTCACGCACAGTTCAAATATTAAGATTTTAAATATACTCTAAAAAATATTTTTGTTAATATTCTTTAAAAGCCCTCATTTAATTTTAGGACAATATTTTACACTATTTTTCATATTTCATGCATTCATCTTAAAGTCCAAAACTAATAAGAGATGTTGAGTGCATAACTTTAACTCTGAATAACTTTATAATATTTGCAATCTAAATAATCTATTTTTTTATAAGAAAATAATTAATTTAAGTTTTACTAAATTCATTCTTATAAGTGATGAGATATTCATCTTTTTTTTAAATAATGTCTTAGCAATTACAAAATAATAAGTTAGTGCAAAATCTAATATGATCCTATCACCTATGATGCATCGACACGAACACGTCGACACGGACACGACACGACACGGACATGAGACACGGCATTTTTTTAAAATATAGGACACGGGTGCGGCGTGGACATGGCATAATAAATTTTTAATATAATATATAGAAATTAAGGTGACATTATATTAAAAATGACAAGCATAATAAATCAATTTCATGATAACTTGTTTAGCTTATAACACAAATATGTTTAATACAAAATGTCTAGTACAACCAAAAAAATATAAGCAAAAAACCATTTAGTACAACATGAAGGTCCAATTACTCAATAGAGGGAATAATAGAATTAGATTCAGAGGTTGATCTTTGGCCTTTAATATCATCATCATTGAATATCATTGCTTCCAACTCTGGTTTATCTAGAGAAAGATTTGCAACCTCCAATAATCCCATATCATCAAGGCACTCGAACCCATCTCCAGCAACATCCCACATCTTGTTATCACATGTCATATAAAGTGGGGTTTTTCTTGATAGAAGACGAAGATTTGTATGCATATAAGCTTAATCTTCAGCTCGTTGTGGAGTTATTTTATTCATCTTCATTGATTGAATAAATGAGTATGTGCTCTCCAATTTCTCTCACAACAGGAAGATGATGATACTTGAAGTTATTCTTGTTTTTAAAGTTCGTAAGTTATTTGTATGGAAAGATACCGGGCGATACCGAGCATGTACCGAGCGGTACCGAGCATGTACTAAGTGATACCTAGCGGTACCGAGCATGTACATTAGCTTTTTTTGGTAAGTTTCAAAAAATAACAATTAATATTTCAGACGTCGATGCCATTTATCAGTCATCGAGAGAGGATATGAAAATATCTTCACTGCCAAAAAGAAATGAAAATGAGAAAATTCAATGATTGGGAATTAAGTGCGGATATTGATTTGGTGTTGTGGATAGAAAATAAGAAATTTAGTTTAAATCCCGCAAAATACAAGAAATTATATTTAAAAAAATTCATAAAATATTTAAGTACATCCGCGTCCAATTTGCATTTAATATTTTTTAATCGGACATGTTTTCGGCGTATCTGACACGTGTTGGAGGAGTATCGGACAAGTGTCGTGTCGGACACGGTGTCGGACACTGCATGCCTCTTTGAGGAGAAGTGTCGGTGCATCATAGCCTATCACCTTCATTAATCTCTCTAAATTCATAGCCATCATGAATGCTTTTAAAATCTTTTACCACTCTACCAACATTGAATTGAATTTTGAACTTAATACCAAACAATGTTTTTTATTTTTCTATGCCATGAGATTTTTCTCTACACAATATAAATGATTGAATTTGATTAATTTTATTTTGGAGTGTTGGTTTCTAATAAGGGTAAATCCCTATTGTTAATTACATCATAATGAATTTAACTATTGAATTTTTTTTTTTGATTAAAATAGTGGTTGATATTTTTTTTATCAAAGCATTAGCTAACTTGATTTCAAATATTTGATTTTTAGAATTTAAAAAATGATTGGATCAACTTAGAATTTTTTATGAAAAACTTAGAGATTTTAAATACTATCTTATGTTGGCTTTATATTTTGAAATTAAATTTATGTCAAGTTGATATATTCTAACAACATAAGATTGAGGAAATAATTAGGAAGGTGAAAACTTATGATGTAA